GTTGTAAGAAATTGTTACAGACGCCGGACGCCAACCTCCAACCACCAACCTCCAACCACCAACCGCCGTCGCAAAAAAACGGAGACCATTACAATATGTCACCACTTTTGGTGGTGACATAAAAACAATCAGGTGGATTTACTTCAAATTTTCACACATGTTACATGGTAAGTATGTTCTAGAGCTGATTAACTTTCCGGCGGCCATCCTTCATTCTGGCGGCCATGATGGATGGCATAATGGATGGCATGTTGGATGGCCATTTTTCGATGGCCATCTTGCATTCTGGCGGCCATTGGAAGTTTTAAGATACATCTTGTCATCTCGATTCTTGTACTCGTACATTCTTGACTCGCTTTGATAATGTTTCTTTATCTCGTCTGCGACTCAATAAAGAAGAATTAACAAAACCCATCAAGAATGGACGATCTTGCACAGGTACTCATATAAGAACCTTTATATCTTGCAATGGACTAAGCCCAAGGGTGGCTGTATCTTGGTTATTCATAGGAGACACGTGTATTGTATCTATTGATTAAATGGTTTAAAGAAATTCAAATGATATAATAAATCAAATATTCCATTCTATTGAGGTGGATAAATGCTCATATTTCACCTAGTATATCTCCTGCAGCCCGTATATACTAACATTCAAATAGTCTAGTATTTGCAAAATGGAGTTGTAATGGTTTATGTTTGTAAAAATAGCTCGTGGCAATCATATTAAACCAGCATATAACAGAGATTAGAACATACAGTACATACAAACTAATGGCCAATAAAATAGAAATGCTGGAACTGCTATGTGAAATACGTTTTGATAGCTTTGAAATTAAATTAAAGATGCACTATGCTAAAGTGAGGGAAAATGATAACGACCTTTTTCAAATACCCATGCACATTTAATAAGACTTCATAGATAAATCCAAATATGACCATGGTGCCTCTATATAATATTACCTGAGTATAAGACATTACCAGCGTCATCTTTGGGAACATTCCTTCCTGAAATATAAATCAACAATGTGAATAAGGTCAATGGTAACATCAGTCTCTAGATAAAAGTGATTTTGATAAATTAGTCCAAGTGTTATGAACGTGCTAGAAGGACGTGTAAAAATGACGTGTTACAAGGAGGATTGGCTCCCAGAATCGAAGTCGATATTTTCCAACAATGAAAACGCCGAAATGTCGTTATTTTCTGAAATTATAACCGATTATAAATTCAAAATAAACAGTTCAAAATATTCGAACCAATATCTCGATCATTTCTTGTGAGTTTTGGAATTTTTCGTTGGGAAATAAGACCAAAATTCACGATTCAAATGTTGAAGTGAACAAAATGGCGGTCGTTGGAATTCAAATTTTGTAGCACGACATACCCATATATGGGGCAGAATATCGATGTTGCACTCTGGGAGCCAATCCTCCTTGACGTGTTATAAACAAGTAATCAAAAAATAGCAATAATGTGGAAATGCTATCAATATGTTTGCAGAACTACAAATGGTGATAACAATAAGTTCAACATTTCAACTGATACAATTTCAAAGCATGTAAAGCATGGTCCTTGGAATAAAACAATGCAAACTACACTCTACAAGCCTATGTCATTTACCTTAAAGCCATATAGCCAGTGTGCGGTAAAGATCGAGATACTTTACTCCCAAACTTGTTAATGATTCGTAAACTGCACCTCTTACCAAATCTGGCCGGTGGAAGACTTTCCAAAGCTATATATAGAACAAAATATTACGATGTTCATGGAAAATCATGACAATTTAGAATATATAATAATTGTATTTCTTTTATGCATTTATAGATTTATTGGAATGGTTTTGATTTGATCGGTTAATGTGTCCCTCTCCCATTCAGAAATAGAAGAAACTACAGTACCGCGTCTAGTTTTTTCAGATTGTTTCGCGGGTACAAAAAATGGGGCGTAATTCTTAAGGCTCGAGTTGGCCAGCAGAAGTATAAAATGAAACGTTTGAAGTAAGAGCGATATCAAGTCTAATTCCCCAGTATTGTCATTGTGTAAATTACCTCTTTAAAGCCACACATAGACATTTTACCTATATTTTAAAACCCCCAAAAAAGAAATAAATATGACACTGTGCTATAAAAAATGAGATAGAGAAAATATTGTGGCTCAGAAATAAATAAAAAAAAAACATGATATGCCACGGCCGGGATTCGAACCTGCAAAATCAAGATTGCAAGACTGATTCCCTAACCACTCTGCCACGGCCTCAGCTGTACTTTCAAGATGCATTTTTAGTATTCATTCTTTATTTAAGAAAAATGTTTTTCCTCTACACCACAATTATTAAATAGTAGTAAATAATCATGGTAATAATATTACAATACATATCTGAGTAAATATTCTAAGCCAAATTCAGAATCAGTGCTGTTAATCCAGTACATGGCTTCCAAAACAAAATTCTTGCTTCCAATTTTCAAAATGATATATATTCATGGATCAGCTAATTTTGGCACCTGAAGCCATCCTAATAGAAAGGTAAGACTATGTTCTTGAAAAGTATTTCTTGAAATCCCCAATTTCGGCCTCTGAAGTGTAAGAAAGTCACTTTAACATAGCTTATGGACATTGTGAACACCTATTCTTGCTCTCCAAGTACTAGTATCAACCCCATCAAGTGTTCTAACCTCGCACCGACCTTGCATATACCCCCAAAATTATACATCATATTAAGTGTTATTTTATGTACAGCCTTAATAAATGAATTGATTTCTAAAGGCAAGATTGTGTGTCCTTTAGTTAGTGCCAGATGTGAAAAATAAGGGTATAAACAAGATGTACATACAAACACAATCAAAGAATTAACATTTTATAATATGGTTCCTCCTCATTTTTGTAAACATTCAGTTTCATGCTAAAAGTGATATCATCCCCCTCAAACTTATAATATATGAGTACAGACATAAGGTCAGGCATAAAGAAAGGAAAGAATTAAGGAAGGAAATTAATGAAAGGCTATAAATGCAGGGCAATGATGTGCTTATGTGACTAATATTTTTTCCCTGAGTTTTTACTGGCAGAGGAAACTCATAATGATCTCTAGATTTCAATGAATAGTTTAGAGATAGTGGCACTATTCTTCAAAAATTGACGGAAGGTGATGCAGCAAATTAGATTGATGGGCTGTACATTTTTAATACATCTTGATTGAACTATGTGAACTCAAATATTATGACGTTTTTTTTCAAGCACCTTATTACAAATGTTTTGCTAATTAGTTTATTTATTGTTTTTTTATGTTTTATCCTTATTCGGACAAGTAAATACATGTAGTATTACGGAATCGAGAACCAACCCCCATAGGATCCACTGGCGGATTCTTTGAGTTGGCCCAGAATAAATGTAAGGGCCCCCCAAAATGGGCCTTTTTGGTCATAACTTGGCCTTTTGGGCCTTTTTTGGCCAAATTAATGGGCCTTATATTTTCAAAATTGGGGCCCAATTTTTGGTTTTAGAGGCCCTCAATTTTTTCCGCGGCTTACTTGTTAGCTTCTGGATCCGCCAGTGGGATCATAATCCGTCGAATCCACTTTCAAGTTATCGTAAACGATAACTTCTCTAGTAAAAAGGGAATCACCAAATATAGAACATATAAAAATATAGAAGTAGGTAATAATCAAAAATTACGGACGGGACAAAAGATACAGAATATGAAACAATTAGTTCAAGCAATGTAATGCAATATCAAATACAACCACCAATGCCAAACGCCCCTCCCCCCTCCCCCCTCCCCCTCCCCTTCAATTATTCACACACGCCAACCGAACGCCATACACCGCCGATAATACAGACAAAGATCTACTTGCTCGACATCGTCGATCGAACTAGTACAACTTGATTCTGATGAAATAGAGAACAAGAATGAAAATTACTTATTAATAGTTCTATGTAAGTTCATCTCTCTGGTTAATATATCAGAAACAAGTCAAATTCTTTACTTCAGAGAATATTTAAAAAAAAAAAAAAATATTCTCTGAAGTAAAGAATTTGACTTGTTTCTGATACTTATTAATAATTAATTCAACTATTCACTACTTTGCTTCACCAAATGGATTGTTCTTTTGAAATAATTGATTAAACAAAGTCGCTTCTTGGAAATTTTCTTCTAATTTTTTATTTTCTTGAATAAAAATGATCAATAAAAAAGTCTAACACCATCCCCAAAAATATTGTAACGATTATTATATTACTATCGTGAACTGACAAAACGAACCACAAAAATAAAAATAAAACAAAGGACGATTCTCGGTTTGGAGAACAGCCTCCTGGGCTAAAAAAAATTTCATGAAAAATGTAGAAAAATTGCCCAAGTTAAACTATGAATATTCAAAAGAGGACATTTAAATCTACAAGATGTAAAAATAACAAATTGGTCTGAAGCAGGGATAATGCTCAAATAGACCGATTCAATAAAATACAAGTCTCGATTTGGGGAAAGAAGTTCATCAGTGTACTGCGCTAATATTTTCTTGCAAAAAATCTAGAAATATTACCCAAATTAAATTATGACTATTCAAAAGAAGACATTCAAATCTATATTATGTAAAAAAATCAAATTTGTCCGAAGCAGGGATAATGCTCATTTAGATTGATGAACTTCGTTCTCCAAACCGAGAATCGTCCTTTAACATTGCCTCATTGTATACTACATATATTTATACGGTTTACTTTTCATTTCATTTTGCTTGCCCTCACTCTAGCTGGCTCTCAGCTTAGCCAATCGGCATTTTACGAAATAGAAAAAATATTGATTCAAGGATTTACGATAGTCTAATGACGCCACGACTTAAAAGCATGTGATTTGAAGAGAAGCCTTGCGAAGGGATTTACTGAGATGTAATCAGGTGCGATTACAAAACACTTTCGCAGTAAAGATAAATGAACAACTACATGCGATGTATAAATATTTCCACCGTGCCTTTAAATTAAAAATAGAAACTTTTCTATTTAATTCCAGTTCTGCAATGCACTACGTCTAAGAAACGACACAGATCGGAATAACCAAGATGATTCCGCAGACATCAAAACAAGAAAACCTATGAGGACAAGCTAGATACAGTAACATCATCTTCGTCAATTCTACGATTGACTTCGGATAGTAACAGTCGTACGATGCCAACTACCGACTTTACAAGCGCAAATTGGTTAGCAGACGAAAACGAGTTTAATAGGAGTAACGTTACGACTTCATGGGCAAACTACAGCGATGATGTTCAACCCTTCACAGAAAGCGATATCTATACTTGGTTCATAAGTTCCACGATCCTGTGCGTGCTTTCTACGATCGCTAATACGTTTTCCATTCTCGCCATCAAGAATATTCCAGGGAAGCTTACCGGGAACCACATCTTGTACTTAAACCTTTCAATTGCCGATATATTAGGTAGTTTGGCGTCTAATATCGAGGTCGTAACGCTGGCATTTGTTGAGCTTTGGCTAACTTCTTTTGAAGATGTATTGTCGGCATTTAAAGGGATTCTATACTTCAGGGTAATTGGCTTCGCCTGTTTTATTCTTTTCTACAGTGTGTCAGCTTGGACTTTACTGGGATTCGCCATACTCCGTTACGTCGCAATTTGCAGATCAATGTACTACCCGAACATCTACCAGCGCCGTAAGATCCTCATCGGTATTGCAATGATATGGATGCTAGCGTTGGCGGTCAGCGTTCCGACCCTCTGCCTGTTGAAACTTGGAGATCCCACCGAAGACCAGTTCTGCACCACGGTCCACTACGTCTGGCCCATTGTATTTGCGTTCATCTCGCTCGTTATCATAATTCTTTACGTCTGCGTGTATATTGAGTCAAAACGAGCGATGGTTCGGGCTAACAGAATGCATCCGGGGCAGGAGTACCCAAACCATCAATACAAGGCATTCGTTACGACATTGCTGTTACTCGCTACGCTCGCATTATCCTTTCTTCCCTATATAATCATCAGAATTCTGCGTCTGTCTGATAGAGACCTAAAACTGAAATTTGCGTACTATAGATTCATCTACTTTCTTCCGTATATTAACTTTGGGAGTGACCCAATAATTTATGCCTCGAGGACAAGGGACATAAGAGAAGGGTATAGTCGACTGTGGAAGAAGATCGTGGGCTGTTGTAAACGCTGTTCACGAAGAGATACGAAGTTTGAAAGGGTAAATAACAAATATGATACAACGATAACGGATGTTACCACATCGATGATGTAGTTGTATCATATTTTAAAGAGTAAGTGCATGTTTTTCTCTCAGAGGAAGAAATTCCCCAGAATTCCCACAGCGATGAGGGTTATCTCTATTGAAGTTGAGGTCGCCTTTGAACTCTGGGGGGTTCCCTCCTCTTATTTGCTATATTGTTTCTGCCATCAATTGAGAAAATATCCAAGAGTCTAGAGATGAGTCTGAGCAATTAGGCCCTCTTAATGATGTATAATGTTCAAAGAAAGGAACCTTAAAAAAATTGGCCCATCTGAGTTATTGAATGATTTGAAGTGCAATACAGGATATATCCTGCTCTGGAAATTCTGAATTAGAACGAGACGAATCATTCTATATAACGCTTTTATCGTGTGATCTTACGCCAATACATTTTACTTAGGAGATAATCCCTAGGAAATACTCTGTATTCTCTGTATTGCTACTGAGATTGTCCCTTCCGTACCAATATTTCCTGTGCTACTACGGAGACGATCAATGGGACAGTCTCAGTAGCAATTCATATTGGTATAGCAAGAACTGGCCAATCACAGGGCTTCATTTTACAGATCATACGCTAAAAGATTTTATGAAGCCCTCTGATTGGTCAGTTCTTGTGCTATACCAATCTGTATTCTGTATTCTCGATATTCTGTATTGGCACTCGACTTCGTCTCGTTCCAATACGGAATTTCTCGAACAGAATATATCCTGTATTGCACTTCAAATCATTCAATAACTTATAATATTGATATGTTGACATCGAATACACATAGTCGTGTTTTTGATTTTTCAGATTTACTAGATTTTACTAGATTTTTAATATACTATTGTAGACAGTGAAAGCTGTGTACGTTAACACTATTGAACCCGTTTCAAGAGTTTAGAAACGACTTTATAACTTTATCTGGTTCATCGATTAAGGCAGGTGTAAAATGGTAGGAGGTCCTATTAATTTATGGTCCTACTCTCCATTGATTTATATGGTGACCTCTTTCCCTTATTATCTTATACGCAATCAGGGCCAGTAAGGGCCTTTAAAAGGGAAGACCATAATCCCCGGGGGACCTTAATTTCCTTCCCACTGGTATATCTTCCTATGATAATTTCTTCGATTTCTAAATTATATTTGGTGAATGATCTTGCTTGAAATTACAACATGCGTACTTTTACCCTCTGAACAGTGGACACCCTGTATAGATTTAAGTACCCCGATTTATTATCCCCAGTATTGTCTCGCGTGGTTATTATATCCTCTCTGAGACCATTAATACGCTTTTTGAAAATTGGATAGAACTTTTATAAAAAGCTATTTTATTGCCAATTTTACCTTCAAGACCAAACCAAGCGTTGCATGCAGAGTAAGCCCTGTCCAAGCTCTACAAATTAATGCTTCTTGTTAATTACAGTAAAGATAAATTTTTTTCTACTAGGTCAGTTTGAAGTGTAGCATTTAACCAATGTGAATTTGTTCCATGGTCTGTTGTCAAGGAAACGCGCTATCTAAAGTAGTGCTGCAAATTAAGGGACACAAAAGGATTAAAATATGTTGAGACCAATTAGTCGCGTATCAACTAAGATTACTTGTTACGTTTGTTTTAAATGTTTAACAAGGAGGATAGGCTCCCAGAGTGCAACGTCGATATTTTGTCCCATATATGGAGATGTCATGATTCAAAATTCGAATTCAAACAGCCGCCATTTTGTTCACTTCAACATTTGAATCGTGAATTTTGGTCTTATTTCCAAACGAAAAATTCCAAAGCTTACAAGAAATGATCGGGATATTGGTTCGAACCTTTTGAACTGTTTATTTTGAATTTAAAATCGGTTATGATTTCAGAAAATAACGACATTTCGACGTTTTCATTGTTGAAAAATATCGAGTTTCGATACTGAGAGCCAATTCTCCTTGATGTTTACGATTAATTGGCAAACTTTCACCTAAAAAGAGACATTTCCGTTTACGTTTGAATAAATTTGATATTTATTAATTTCATCTTGCTGGATAAATTCCATATTCAATCGGATATTATGAGGAGATGGTTTCTAAAAAACATAGCTTCAACAACCTTTTTGCAAATATTTTGAATCGATATAATTCTGCCTTTCGGTTTGTATTAAATGTATTTCAAAAATCAGACATAGAGATGTTTTCACTTACCACCGTTTTTAATTATTAACCATCTCCTGTAGCATGACTATACTGTATCCTGATTGGTCAAAATGTGATAATGCATGTCTCTACATGTTACTACTGTCTATACAAGTGTTCTTTTAACTTATGTGGTCATCCATTTCAGCCCAATGAGACGAGTATGGAGTTACCGCGTTATGCTATCGGGAGCATCACAAGACTTGAAACATATAAATGGCGGTATAAAGACTTTTACAAATGCAGGCCGTATCATGATGGCGACTCTGGGAGACAGTGTACATTTAATAACACGTGTCAGAGACATGATGTGATTATATTTTCCAACAAAAAGCATTCACAGTCTGTGCATCTCCCGAAGTCTGTTTAAGAGTTTCGACCACAGGTCATACATATGGTGATGGCGAGTCTGAAAGGATGATTAGTATAGAGGACACAAATCATTGGTCAGAATCCCCATGACATCGATTGCGAGATGGTCAAAAGACATATTATACAATTGGTCCAAAGGGGGAATAATCCCAGAGTTCAAAGATGACATACGCTTATACTGTAAACCTGTATTGAGATGATATCCATCTCTGATTGGTCAAAAATCGACAAACGTCATCAATGGCGGCTGCGTATTTCGAATAATATTATGTTCATTTCTGGCGTGTAAGACAATACCATATCTTCTTATTTTACATCAAAATAAAGAAAGTGAACGGATTATGCCTACATGCATTAAAACATCACATCGAAGTGTAGTATAGTGTAGAACCTAGCCGGTGAAAATTCGAACAAACGAAGATGGCAAGCAAGAGACGTAATTATGTCTGTTATCTCTAACGCTCTGGGGCTTTCCCTCCTCTTCCATTGGTTCGAATTCCAATGACTCGATAATAATTCATGATAATTCACGAAATCATTAGTCCGAATCCGATCGCCGCTGAATGATTGTATACCATTGTTCTGAACCATATCGGCCCCAGATTGGTTCGAATCCCGTTAGCTCTTAAATAAGTTAAAGTACATATACGTAGTATCATTATATTGGTCTTAATGTCCCCTTGATGATTTAAGGACGCATAACATTGGTCGGAATCTCTTTGGTTCTAAGATGATAAAATGATGTAGTCCATCTATGTTTCATGATGGATTCAGGGACTAAAAATATTTTCCGATATCCGCTGGTTCGAAGATGATTTAAAGGACGTATATCATAGGTACAAATAACCCTGGGACGATGAAAATGACGCAAACCATTGATCCGAATCCCGTTGCCTCTAGAATGATTAAGGGACGTATAACATTGGTCCAAAGGAGTGGTATCGATATGGTGAACTTTTTGAACACGCGTTTCTCTTTAACCAGTCATCAAAACATTCTGAAAATTGTACACATCGTCAATTGAATGGTCATCTTTTGGATGGTAACATTATAATAATATGAATTATATATATATACTTTTCTCTATATTGTTTTGGAAAACACATCAGACAGTTCTTTCGTTCTTGGTATCATTTGTTCAGAATGAAATGAAACATCTATCCGAACCTCATTGGAACAAAACGACATAAACACAACGTGTTTAGGTCTCTCAATATTGTAATTGTACAAAGGAAAGTTTGGTTGATTTTAAAAAAGTATCTTGTTAATGAAATAAAAGGTTTATCTTAATTTTTATCTATTTTGGGGGTTTTATTTTTGCATACTGATGTTAAATCAATCAAAATTCCCTTTGTATAACTATAATATTGAGAGGTCTAAGACAATTTAACATTTAACTTCATTCTCAAGAATTGGTAGAAAGGAACAAAAAACAATTGCATTAAAAAACAAAAAACGTAAACAAAAACAGTTATATAAAATATATATAAAGAATTTTTGCATTAAATTGTTGCCAATCAGTCAACATTACATAAAATACCGTGTTTTTTTAAGAATGTTTTCAATAATTGGTTTAAAGGGTTCCGATAAGTGTCCCGTATAAAAACAATATGGCGGCTCCAGGCGAATCAACTGGATCAGTCCATTTTTAAGAAATAAGGGGAGTTCTGTAAAATTCAGTTTATTGAAATTGTCTTTGAGATAAAATAATCCGTTTATAATGATTTTGAAAACGTTATCAAAGGAGTGATTGCGTTCAAACAGTACATGTACAACAGCCAATATAAATCCTTGTATTAGAACTGCTTTGTTTCATTTTTAGGATATTTCATATGCCAAGCTGTGTGCTATTACGTTATGGGGAAATTTAGATGCCAATTTTTCCTTATTATACACAAATAGCAGATCCTGAAACTTCACCCATAAATTTGGAATTGATTTGTCAAAACAAAAATCACCCTTTTATAAATGTGTGACGATCTATAATATACTTATGCTATATAACAGTTAGAGGTGTTGACACAACGACATCGAACCTGTGAACCCTTGAGTATTATTCCGGGATCGGGCCTTTTATACTAAACGGTGAGCAACACCAGAAACGAGCGTTCGATTTGCTAAACGATATGCGTCACCCTTTAAGAGAAAAACATTGTTGAATTCAGTTCACCATATCGATACCTATCCTTTCATTGTCTCGAGGATGATTAAAATGACGCATATCATTGGTCCATATGTCCTAAGGTTGATTAAATGACGCATAACATTGGTCCCCATTCCATTATCTCGAGGATGATTAAAATGACGCATATCATTGGTCCCTATGTCCTAAGGTTGAATAATGACGCATAACATTGGTCCCCATTCCATTGTCTGGAGGATGATTAAAATGACGCATATCATTGGTTCCTATGTCCTAAGGTTGATTAAATGACGCATAACATTGGTCCCCATTCCATTGTCTGGAGGATGATTAAAATGACACATATCACTGGTTCCTATGTCTCCAGGTTGATTAAAGGACGTGAAACATAAAACTTGAAATAAACGTCCTAAAATTTTATTCTAACATGACTGTATCCACGCCTTCTTTAAATTGTGAACAAATTTCATGATATGTAAACTATTATCCAATCCATTCGCTAATGACTACCTCCCTCGAATTCCCTATTTAGAATAAACATTCACTCTACTCAATAATATAGATGTCACTTAGGAAATCTATGTTTCCTAAGTGACATCCATACATTCAAGTAGATTTCATGTTAAAGGATTGGGTGAAATACCCATTTAATTTTACCCTTTACGGTGTATTTACATCCTGAATAATGTGATTTGTTAATTTTTACTACTCCCAATCCTCAAATCTTTAATAAAAAATTAACAAAAAACTAACGTGGACATCGGATTTGAGAGCAATCTCTCCCAGTAGTTCTAGTAGATTGTTTTCCATGAGGTAATTATGAAGCTAATAAAACCTAAAATTGACCTCATATCAATGTTTCATTCATGAATTACTGGTGGGGAAAAATCAGTCCCCTAACATGAGTAATTAACCTCAATTGCCAATTACCTCCTACTGTGGAGAGACAACTCTCACATCCGAAGTCCACGTGGTTAAAACCACTAAGAGATCAGTGCTCCCGGACTTTAGATGTAAAGAGAAGCCAATTGTTTATCAGACTTCACTAGTTTCAGATGTTACAAACTCAAGTCATTTTCAAATTAGTTTACAAGAGGGTACATGGAATTAAACCATTACATAACCAATCACTTGCATAGGTTATCCAGTCATGTCAAAACAATTCAACCTACTTTCTATTGAGTAAACCTCAGTTTTCTTTCAACTGCCAATTACCAGATTATACCTGAGTGTCATTATTTTCGTCACACTGTACTATAACGTTCTGTATAATGACCTCTAATTTTACTGTGTTATTAACACGTTGAATTGTTCTATTTTTCTTTTTTTCTGTCAAATATTTGCCTCTCAGAAAACTTCTCTTATTTTGTCTCATAGTTATATTTAATAGCCCCTTGCTCTGGCATATATCTCTGTATCTCTAGGCTCTCAAGGCCTTTTATTCATTACCCCTCATGGTTCATATTTTTTGCCCACTGCTTGCGCATATATTTTCAGGCCCTTGGAGCCTTTTATTTTAGCCCATTGCTCGGGCGCCCCTTGCTCGGGCATTTATATCTAGGCCCTCAAAGCCTTTTATTTTAGCCCCTTGCTCGGGCATTTATATCTAGGCCCTCAAAGCCTTTTATTTTTAGCACCTTGCTCGGGCATTTATATCTCTAGGCCCTCAAAGCCTTTTAATCTCTAGGCCCTCAAAGCCTTTTATTTTAGCCCCTTGCTCGGGCATTATATCTCTAGGCCCTCAAAGCCTTTTATTTTAGCCCCTTGCTCGGGCATGTAAATCAAAATATGCTTACCACTGCTGAATGTACGTCTTGCCACTTCGAATTCCCTATTTAGAATAAACATTCACTCTACTCAATAATATAGATGTCACTTAGGAAATATTCGAGATCAATGCCCCAACTCTGTACTAGTGTTTCGTCCAGTGCACTCAATGGTCAGTTCAGGCTGCTCCGTTCTTTTCGCCAAATTTAATTTTTATATGGATATCCGCTGTGATTTTTTTGTTTCTGGGCAATATAGAATTAATTTCAATAATTATCAATGTAGTAGATATGCGTGAAACCAATAAAATAGGCCGAAATGTCAATGAAAAAGTCGGGGTCAGGAGGTAAGTAAACAAATTGTAAAAGCCAAAAGATCAACCGGAAGTAGAAATGAAAAAAGTTGAAATGAACATCGAAACTGACGATCTTGCAATATTCTGGTGAGTTTTCATGTTCGAATCGTAATATAGACCTCAGAGCAGGGCTTCTAGTTTCGAATACACCCCTGAGGTCTAGGCACACAAGCTTTCGACCCCCTCACTCCCTTCGGTCGTTTGGGGTACAGAAAACGTTTATACCTAGACCTGCGGGGTGTATTCGAAACTAGTAGCCCTGCTCTTTGGTCTATATTTCTTAAATATACTGAACTTAAAATTCTCCTTTATGGGAATTGGAACTTTCCTGATAGAGAAGACAAAACAATATGAAAAGAGCTAAGATTTTAATGTTATTTATGAATGATATCACGTATTGAGTGCAAATGAACTAAAGAGGAATAAAGAATAGATATGATGTACATCAAATGTATAGAACAATAAAATATATCTTGAAACCTGAAAATCAATGAAGTATTAAAATGATGTGTGTACCAAAATGTAATGTATATGAATACCTAAAACCTGTTTCAGACACATAACATTTGCCCGAATTCCACTCGCCCGTGACTGATTAAAATGACGTATACCAGGCCACTGGTCCGAATAGTCAGGGGGTATAATCAGCAGGATACATACCATCGGCCAAACAATCGATGGCCCGAAATGATTAAAGTGACGGAAATCACTGGCTTGATTTCCAATAACCTGACAATGGGAAATACGACCTCGAAAGCCAGTCTGAAAATAAACATCCTCTCAGACATCCATACGTGTAGTCCGTGACGAGAAGACTAAAACTGTAACTTACTGCTTCCGCTAACTGTTTCCGCATTCTCCTAAAATAAGAAATTAAAAGAGTGATGGCACATCCGGCAAGAAGTAGATTAATGAGAATGTGACATGGCAGTTGCCGC